GTCGTGGTGGCGGCCCGCGCAGCTTGGCGTCTACCGGCGGCTCCGGTGCTGTCACCTGCCAGTACCAGCTTCAGACCGGGCCTCTTCGCGGCACTCTGTGTCGCCGCCCGCACCCGACCGCCCGCTGTTTCCGCCGCCTCGATGATCTCTTTCGTCGTCGCTTTGGCCCGGCCCCAAACCTCCCCGACTGGCACAGCCTGCTCCGCCAGGGCATGCCGATCTTTGAGTTAGACATGGATCAGCTAGGTGCTGCTTTGCATGCTTTGTATTCTGACGCTTCTAGTTTTGCTGGATCTTATTACCCTGTGTACTCTAGTTTAGGTGTTGCACCACTGTGTAGCTTAGCCTCCCCTGCTGCGTCAGGCGTAGGACTGCCTAGGTTGCCTAGTCTAGTCGCTGCACCGGCTCCGTCCCCGGCCTCCGCCACTGCGTCGCTGTCCTTCACTCTCGACTCCGGTGCTTCTACCTGCTTCTTCCGCGACCGTTCCACGCTCACGCCGCTTGCTGCACCTGCTGTTGTCTCTCTCGCTGACCCCTCTGCGGGTCCTGTCGTCGCGCGCAGTTCTACGTCCCTTCCCTGTCCGGCAGTTCCCTCGGGCTCCCTTACTGGCCTCCACGTTCCCTCGTTCTCCAGGAACCTGGTTGGTGTCGGCTGTCTCCAGGACCTCAACGTCACCACCACGTTCCCCGGGCACGAGCGGTTCGCTGTCTGTTCTGAGGCTGTCTCAGGTTCCCCCCTTGCAACGTTCCCCCGGGACCCGGTGTCCGGTCTATTTACCCTAGACACCGCTTCCCCCCCGGTTGGTGCGTCCTCCCAGGTCGCTGCAGCTTGCTCGTGTCGGTCCCTCACTCACCCCTCCCTTCTCTGGCACCACCGCTTAGGTCACCCTGCTCTCCCACGTCTGCGTCACATGTCCCAGCACGGTCTTGTCTTAGGTCTCCCCGCGTCGCTCCCTGCCCTTCCTCCCTCGACTGCGCCACCGTGCACGCCTTGCGTCGAGGGTCGGCTCCGCCGTGCTCCTCACTCCTCCTCGCTGCGTCCTGCTACCGCCCCCCTTCAGACCCTGCACCTGGACGTTTGGGGCCCTGCCCCCGTCCCCGGACCGCGCGGTGAGCGCTACTTCCTTGTGCTCGTCGACGACTACACGCGCTACACCACGGTGTTTCCCTTGGAGCGGAAGGCCGACGTGCTCGACGTTCTTCTCCCGCCGGTTGTGGCTGCGCGTCTCCACCGCGGTCTCCCCGTGTTGTGTCTCCACTCCGACCGTGGCGGCGAGTTCGCCTCTGGTCGGCTTGGACAGTTCTGTCGTGCGGAGGGCATCACCCAGTCGTACACGTTGCCGAACTCGCCACAGCAAAATGGGGTTGCTGAGCGCCGCATCGGCTTGGTCATGGAGGTCGCCCGTACCTCCATGATCCATGCCGATGCCCCCCATTTTCTGTGGCCGTTCGCTGTTCGCTACGCTGCTCACCAGCTTAACCTGTGGCCACGCTCCCAGCGGCCGCAGGTTTCGCCGACCCTCCTTTGGACCGGGTCCCCCGGTGACGCATCTGCGTTCCACGTCTGGGGCTGCCTTGCTCACGTTCGTGCCTCTGGCACGGACAAGCTCACTGCCCGCACTGTCCCCTGTGTCTTCCTCGGTTCCCCCCTGGACTCGTCTGACTGGCTTTTCTACCACCCGCCGTCTCACCGCTTCCTCCACTCTCGTGACGTCACCTTTGACGAGTCCGTCTCCTTCTACCGCCGCTTCCCTCACCGAGGTCTCCCAGTTGCCCCCCCCCTGTTCCTTGCTCCCTCTCCCCAGGTAGCCCCTGCCCCTCTCCCGCCTCGTCCTGCCCCGTCTGGTGTCTCTCACGTCACTCCCCTCCCGTCGGTTGTCCCCGTTGAGGAGTCTGCTGACTCTGGTGGTACCCCCGGTCCGTCCTTGCCGCGTCCCCCTTCCCCGGTGCCTCCGCCCCCACTGTCGCAGTCGCCGACCCCGCCGCCGCCGCCGCCGCCGTCGCTGCCACAGCCGTCGCCGCTGTCGCCGCCGCCGCAGCCGTCGCCGCCACTGCCGCCGCCGCTCTTGGCCCCTGGGGGTGCTGGTGTGGAGGAGGGTGTTCGTCCTGCGGCTTCTGGGGGTGCCGCTGGTGTTGGAGGGGGTTCTCGCTCTGGGGGTGTTGGTTCTGGGGGTGCTGCTGTTGAGTGTTCTGCCGACGGTCGTTCCGCCTCTGCTGATCCGAGAGTTCCGGCCCAGCCGTCGTCGCCGCCACAGCAGCCGTCGCCGCCGGTCTCCGCTCTCCGCCTGCTCGGCCTTCCCTCCCCGGACCGCGCGCCGGTGTCTCCCCCACCGCCTGCTGAGCTTCCTGTCTACGGTCCTGTGTTCCCGCCGCCGGACTCGTCTCCGGCCCGTCTTCCTTCTCGTTCCCCTCATGTGTCTCCTCCGCTGTCCCCTGACCCTACACCTCCGTCTCACGTTTGGGCTCGCCGTCCCTCCCGTGCTCGTCCCGTCTCTCCTGTCCTGCCCACCCACCCTATGTTGCTCCGTTCCCGCTCGTCTCGTCCTCCCCTCCTCCCGTCCCCTCCTCCCTCGTCCCTTGCTGTTGCACCTCCTCCGTTCTCTGACTACCTCCGTGCTGCTCGTCCCCTTGTCCCTCGGGTCCTTGCCTCTCTTGTTACCGACCCTGCTGTTCCTGTCTCGCGCCTTGACGCGCTTGTCGCTGCTGTCGCTGACTTCGCCTCTACCCGCCGCCTTGACTACGCTACCGCTCTGGTCTCTGACCCTGCCCGTCCTCCGTCCGACGGGGGTGCTCCTGCCCTTGGCAGTGACGTCCTAGAGGACAGGCAGTACGAGCTGGCTTTCCTTTCCGAGGCTGCTCCCCATCTCTGCTCCATGCTGTTAGTCCCTGAGGGTGACCCAGACGCCTTCGACATCCCGACCCCTCGCACCTACGCTGAGGCCACCTCGGGACCTTGGGCCTCTCAGTGGATAGCTACCATGGAGCAGGAGATGGCATCTTGGAGGTCCACCGGCACTTACGTCGACGCAGTTCCCCCGCCTGGGGTGAACGTAGTCGATGGTCGGTGGCTCTTCAAGGTGAAGCGCCCCCCTGGAGAGCCGCCTGTCTTCAAGGCGCGCTACGTGGCCAGAGGTTTCAGTCAGCGCGAGGGGGTTGACTTCTTCCAGACCTTCGCCCCGACCCCGAAGATGACCACTCTTCGGGCGCTGCTACACGTAGCAGCTCAGCGTGACTACGAGCTTCACTCCCTCGACTTCTCTACTGCCTTTCTTCAGGGCAGCCTACACGAGCAGGTCTACCTGCGCCGACCACAGGGCTTCACTGGTACCTTCCCTCCTGGGACCCAGTGGCTTCTCAGGCGCCCGGTCTACGGCCTGCGTCAGGCTCCCCGCGAGTGGCACGACACGCTACGTGCCACGTTAGCAGACCTGCAGTTCTTTCCGTCCTCTGCTGACCCTTCACTGTTTGTGCGTTCCGGCCAGACTCCGTTCTACATCCTTGTCTACGTAGACGACCTGGTCTTCGCTACTGCTGACAGGGACGCACTGGCCTCTGTGAAGGCTGAGCTGCTGAAGAGACACACCTGCACTGACCTTGGAGAGCTGCGTCGCTATCTTGGCCTGCAGATCTCTAGGGACAGAGCAGCACGCACCATCACTCTGACCCAGTCACACTTGGTGCGTCAGGTCCTTCAGAGGTTCGGTCTTCAGTTCTCCTCCGCACAGCCCACACCTCTACCCGTAGACCATGGGCTCTCTGCTCCCGTTCCTGAGGAGCCAGTAGAGCCCAGTGGCCCCTACGCAGAGCTGGTGGGTTGCCTCATGTACCTGATGACTTGCACTCGCCCAGATCTCGCATACCCTCTCAGCATCCTGGCTCGCTTTGTGGCTACAGGCAGACACCGACCTCAGCACTGGTCTGCCGCTAAGAGGGTTTTGCGTTATCTTGCTAGTACATCAGGCATGGGGTTAGTGCTAGGAGGACGCAGGCCAGTGGTCCTTACTGGGCACACAGACGCTTCTTGGGCAGACGACTCTGAGACGCTCAGGTCGTCGCAGGGCTACTGTTTCAGCCTTGGTTCGGGTGCTATCTCTTGGAGATCCACTCGCTCGTCGTCTGTGGCTCAGTCTAGCTGTGAGGCTGAGATCTACGCTGGTGCCATGGCGGCACAGGAGCTCCGCTGGCTGACCTTCTTGCTCACAGACTTAGGTGAGCGGCCTAGCTCTGCCCCGGTCCTGTACGCTGACAACAGGGCCATGATACTCCTGTGTCAGGAGCCTCGGCTTGAGGGCAGAGCGAAGCATATCCAGCTGCGGTACTTCCTCCTGCGCGAGCTACAGCAGCGCCGCCAGGCCCGCGTAGTTCACTTGGCCTCAGGTGCCAACACAGCTGATATCTTTACTAAGGCGCTTGCGCCTAAAGATCATCAGCGGCACTGTGTACAGCTTGGTCTTGTTCCTGTAGCTGCTCCCCTGTTAGGATCCTGATTGTGTACTCTCTATTATATATGCTTGTCAGACTGGCCTTGTGGCCTTACCTCCAATGGCTGGACTAGTAGTGCCACCCTGGCTTGCTTCAGTTTTGGTTGTATTCTTGCTGACTGGTCTCCAGACCCCTGCCTCAGTGGTTGGACTAGTAGTGCCGCCCTGAGCTGTTTGCTTCTTGTTTAGTTTCATCCCTTGTCTAGCCTAGGGGGTGTGTCAACTTATACATATTATCTATGTAGAAGTTATAGGCTAGACTCAGGTATGCTTCTAGTGAGTACAACCAACTAGTATTTGTTCTAGGTTTCCACTTCTAGTTATTATTCGTTCTCACTTTGACAAAATGAACGCGCCGGACACGCCCTCAACAGCACTTCACTGCAAAAACTGTTCTATACGGTTAAACTCATTATTGGACTGGATACAAGTTTTGTGATCATCGATTCAGCATTCTACGAGCTAACCGCTAGCCATTTTCACACGCAAAACAGATTATGCACTCTGCAATGGCACATGACTTATGCACAAAATTATAACCAGCAACTAAGGAATGACAGCCTGCTTGATTTGCACAATTATATTATTTTGGGATCATTCAAATCATTAACATCTACTGCTTTGGTTGCTGCTGAGTCCACTTGCTCCGAAAGCACCAGTGGCACCAGTAGACATGAGATGCAACGGCTGGCACAATCCTCTATGTGGTGACTGCACGAGCACAAACCGGCCATTGCTCCTCATACACCTCATACTAACAGGAGAAATCGTCCGCACTGCTTCCACGTCCTTATTCCTTAGGTGACGCTGACAATTCTGATGGTAGCAATGATGGAGGTTACCAGGTGACACTGCACGTGCCTCACACATGGTTACGTGGCCCTTGCTCCTGGTTGGCTGGAGAGCTACAGCTGCCCGGACACATGGCAGGGACCAGAACGGCTGTAGCTCATGGAGCAATGGCGGCTGTAGCTCCTTCTGGTGAAACTCACAACGGTAATCACCCTGAGTGGCGGAAGGAGCGGCTGGGGAGGCGGAGCAGGAGGCGAGGGTCGAGCGCGTGTGAGTGGGATAGGCCGAGCGGACGGGCGATTGTGGGCAAGAATGAGAGGCCAGTGGTTGCTGACGTGGCGGAAAGAGCGACGGGGAGGGAGGGGCAAGAAACGGCGGGGAAAAGCGCGGAGGGGATGGTGGCGGAATGGAGGTGGTAGGAGGAAGGGAGGAGGCAGGAGGAAAGGAGGGTGAAGACAAGTTGGGGGAGAGCAGTGTCGAGGAGGAGGACAGTTCAGCCGAATCGCCGCCTTCTCGCTGCGAGCTCTGAGCCAATGGAACACTCTCCTTGTGCGCTGTGCTGCGCTCCTCTCGTCGGACGGACTCCGAGTCTGACCCGGAAACATCGTTAAGAAGTCCTTGTGCACGGGACACAGGGAGGGGCTGCGGCTGCTGCTGCTGCTGCTGCTGAGGCTGCTGCTCAAGACAAGGTTGCGAACAGTCTTCCTCACCCTCCCTCCCTGCACAGCCCTCGTTCTGCCGCTGCTGAACACAACCATCACCAAGACTCCCCCTCGCTCCCAGGTAAGCCTGCTGTGGCTGCGGTTGATGACCCCCCCCCTCCCTCTTCGCCCCGCCTTCGCTCTGCCGCTGCTGCTGCCACGGGAGTGGCTCCTGCTGCTCCTCCCGTGGCTCCCGCTGCTCCTCCCGCGGCTGCTCATGATGGCTGCTGCGCGAGAGTTGCGACGGCGAAGAGCAGTAGCGCCGGTGGCGGCACTCGCAGCGAAGCTGTGCGAGGCGTGTGTAACCACGTTGGGTATGACGACGCCGTTGCTGCGGCGGGCTAGTAGGGTGCGGCGAGCCGCAGTGCAACGGAGAACTTGATAGATGCGAATTCAGTAGATGAGAATTGAGTGAATGAGAGCATGGTCCGTCACGGCGCTCTAGGCGGCCAGGCGTTCCAGTAGTAGTGCACTCTCCGTCGCTGCTGTAACCGCCTACGTCATTCCCGAAGCGAGAATCGAGGTTGAAGCGAGAATCGAGGTGCTCGCCGCTGAAGGCGCTGCTGCTGCCGCTGTCGCTCATCGCCAACTCGTCCGCGAAACCTAAAACTCGCGAGTCGTCCATTCCGTGGCGCGAATTCCGATTCAGAGGAACGGATAAATAAAGGATACGAAAATAAAATAAAGGATACTGTAAATTGGAAGCCAAGCAGGAGCGAATGCACAACGGTGCAGAAATCCGCTTTCTGTCGCCTATTTTCACGGTGCTACGATGTCTGTTGTACGATGTTCTGACTGTGAGAGAGGCTTGCCTCGCTGTGGGAAAGAATCCAGAATCTAGAAATATCTGAAAGAAAGCTAAAAGGATGCGTTCGAGGTGACGTGTGTTGCCGGAATTCTCGATGCTATGTGAGCCACGCATGGTGGTGGATAGGGGGGGAATCGCGTGGACGCCACTTCACCAGCACCCAGCCGTGACGCGGCGAAGCATGCGGTGCAGCACCGGCAGCCAGCGGTGCCGCCCACGTGCCCCCCCCCCCAGCCCAGCTGTGGTGCTGGCGCGCTGGGGGGAAGGGGATGGGGGAAGGGGCGCAGTGCAGGTCGCGAAACTGTCGCCGCCGCCGCCAAAGCTGGTTCCCTGTTGTGTGCATGCTGGTTTCCGCGACGTTCATAAGCGCGAAAAGCGAGCTGTTACGCGTTCTTGCATCAACATGTGCCATCTGAAATGGAAACTGGTTAGTCACATTTTAGAGAAAAACTCAAATGAGAGAAAACGTTATGTGAAAATCCCCAAAAGGTGAAGGCACTATGAACGTAACACTATGTACATTATGTGCAAAACAAATCACACTAAGAGAGTTTACACTAAGGCATGCCTTCCCAGTCTTCAAACAGCAATTAGTCCAAGCTGCATGTCAAGCACGCATCACATGAGAACCAGATGTTCATGCTGAAACTGACAGATTATTTTCCAAAGCTTGCGCTATCAACCTTCCCTCCAGCACCCATCAAATGACCATCATACCCCTCAATTTGCTTCCCTGCTGGATAACTCCCATGCTCGCTATTCATGTCACTGCTGCTGTCATTGCTGACATCACTGCTGATGTCACTCAGTGCAAAGCCACATGAATCACTACTGTCACCGCTACCATGAGCTCGTGAGTGCGCATACACACCACTACCAGGACTGTCAGGGCCCAGAGTGAAACGGTTTTGTGAACAATTCTTGCTGTGCCCGTTGGAGCTGGCAATTCTGCCAGCCACGGAGGGAGGAGCACCAAGGGAGCAGGGCGACATTTGGACTCCATGCCTATCGTCCGAGCAGCCGTTTTCGGCACAGGATCGCACAGCTGCTGCTTCTAGCGCGTTACTGCCTAGCGAGGACGTTCTGCGGGCGCGGCGGGCGCGCTGCTCTCCACTCCCGGACTGCTGATTCGACTGAAACAGCAGCAGACGGCCGCTGTTGCGAACGGAGTGCAGGCTCACGGGCGAAACCGCTGTCTGCACCTCTGCTAAAGTCACGTGGCCCTTGCTTCGCGTCGGCTGTAGCGCGGTAGCAGGACGAATGCATGGCAACGACCAAAACGGCTGTAGCTGGCGGCTCGGCTCGGACGAGGACGCCGGTAACCGTGGCCCGCAACATTGATGGATAAGGGCCGCGGTGTCACTATTCAAACGGCAGAGAGACGGCGGATTCGGAAACCGTTGACCTTGACTGCGGCCGTCATCCTCGGAGACAGTGTCATGGAGCTCCCGAAGGTGCGAGTGCTGGCGTGATTCATGATGATGGTCATGGTCCCAGTCGTGATTCTCAGAATTGCGGTGGAGCGAGACGACGGTGTGGTGGTGATTGCGGTGGTGGCGATGGTCAGAGTGGTGGAGATTGGGATGGTGGTGGTAGTCGTGGTTCTGGCACGATCCTCCGCCGCAGGGACGCGCTGGCGAAGGCGTTGTTGGCGAAGATCTGGTAACCCACCACGCCTCGGCTTCGCACTCCGCGTGACTCGCCTGATGCTGCAAGAATTCTCGCGAAGGCCCCCCATGCAAGCGAGGCTGTTCTGACTTAATGTCCAACCAGGGCTCCACGGCAGATGAACTGGAGGAAGTATGGCGAAGACCTTCAAGCTGTGAATCTGAGAATGAACGCTGCTCCCAAGTTTCACAGTGCCGAGGCTGATCAAGCTGCTCAGTGTGGTCCCATGTTCGAGTGTCAGGAAACGCGACCTGATGATATCTGTAGAAACGCTGCTGATCCATTAAAATTAGATGGCTTCACGGACGTGGCAGAACCGAGCTGAAACTCGCAATTCGTAGCGGTGGCTCAGAGTAGAAACATCAAGGTAGCTGTTATTTAGGCTGTCCAAACGAGGAAGTGCAAACCTGTCTCGAGTGCAGAAGAGCGACCTTATCAAACAGCAACATTAGGCAAGATCACGAGCCACAACAATGTGATGAGAGGGGGGAGAACAAGGTCCTAAGTCCCTGCTCTCCAAACCTCAGTGTTGCCCTGATCCTCATGATTCTCTCATCCTGCCCGTGAGAGTGAGATGGTCTGTACAGAGTGACTGCGGGCAGGAGGAAAGAGAGCACTGCACTGCAGCATGGCGGTGGGCAGATGGTGTTCAATCCAACGGTGAAGTCGAGAGCTGCCCGCGGGTAGATCGCGATGGATGTGATTATTGGCGTGAGCCTGAGGCCGCCACAAATACGCATCACGAAGGATCGCACTGAGGTCAAAGCTGATGGGGGTTTCAGGGCGTGTCCAGCGCGTTCGTTTCGCCCCAACACGAGTTTTTGACGTATTTTTAACACGCCGAAATATTGAAACGCCAAGTGTAAATGTGTTGAGGTACACGTACAGCATAAACAGCAAAACGCGGGGACACCTGTCCCGCCCGTGTCTCGACAAATGAGCGGGTGCGCAGCGCGCACATAACAGACTGACACGCGAAAACAGCAGGGTAACCGAATTCCGCCCCGGGAAAGAGGCCCCGCCCGCTGCTTCGCATGCGTTACGCAAGCCTGGCGAATGTAAGCGCTCTAATTTTCGCCAGCCAGGATTTGGACGTTTCTGCTGTGTGTATAATTTGGGCACGTTCTCCATTCGGTTGGGAAACGTGCGGCCCACGTCTGTGGGCACGTCTGGAGGGTGCCCGCCAAAACCGTCAATTTCTCGTGCGTGTCCGAATGGACACGAAATTTCGGGTTACCAGCTCAAAATTTCGTACCTGATATGCAACGGGAATAGTTTACGAGCGTGCTGGACACGCCCTCAGCCAGTTCCCGATAACGCATCGCGATCGTTGGCTCAAATGGCGGCCGAATTGTGAACCGTTGATAAAGTCCAAAAGAACCAACGCGTTCCTCCTGCATGACAGCTTTCCTGACGAAATGTGTAGACTTTCCGTGACAGTCGAGCGGGAGTCATGACGACTCACTGCCCCGCCAGCAGACATCCAAACCAGCCCAAATCTGTCCGAGTCATGGGAGCAGCATGCACGTGTGTCTCGCCAATCAGGTGTTCGGGTGCTTGTCAGCGCTGGGCTGGTCCTGAGTCAGTGACCTCCTCTGCCCTTCTTCATTGGAGAACATGCTGAAAGGAAAGATCTAGTTGAACGCTGACGCGGTACCACGTCACGGATACAATTGTTCAGTTTCAGCGAAAACAGAACGCTTCAAATCACACGGGAATAACAGCTGCTTAAAGCCCGCGGCCCAAATTGCGAGGCGCTACCTTCAAACGTACTGCGTTTGAAAGTCACGTTTTCGTGGGTGAAGATGGGGGTAACGTGACTCGCGTCACTCGGGGCTGGCTTTCAAGTTCAGTGCGGAACGTATTTTGGGACACCCAGAGCCTCGCGTTTTTTAGCCGTCCAATATTTAGGGATTTCCATCTGACGGCGCGCAAGTAAAGTGCTTCCCCCAGTCAATCGAAATGTAATCTCAGCCGTCGCACTACCTGCTTGCAAATCGGACGATCTACGACAAATTGCGAATTCGCGAGATGAAACACCCTCACGATTTGACTGTATTTCGTCCAAGCCGAGGCTCACAGTTCATACGCAGTGTGTAAGAACAATTTGGGCCGCGAGCTTTAAGTATTCCTGCCAATATACCATACCAGTATTCAAAACCTAGGAAGCAATGGTGAGAATATTAGTCTTGCCCACCATGAAGCTTTGGTGGATCCCACCCTACGGCTAATACTCAAAATAGTTAAGAGAAGCCTAGAAAGTGTATCCTAAAAGCACCTCAAACATCTAAAATTTTTCTAAACAATTCCCATTGCCATCAAAACAAGGACAGAGTTAGCGCTTGCGACGGTTATCTTCAGCAGGGGTGGGATTGCCCTTCTTCATCATGGTACAGAACTCGTTATAGTCAATGCGGCCATCCTGTCACAAGAAGAGCAGAGTTGAAAACCATGGGTTGAGAGTGCATCGACTTACAAAGAGCCAAATTGACATGGTCACTTCGAACCATAACAGGCCGCGTGCACATGATCCCACATCCACTCACATTGTCAGAGTCCACCTCCTGCAGGATGGCGTCAATCTCGGCCTGGCAGCAGCTCCAGTCACAACTCACCACCTCAAGAAACAGCTGGTCACTCCCACCATCCCATCCCATACCCATCATCCACTTACACAATCCCATCCCACATCCAGCATCCACTCGCACCATCCGATCCCACATCCAGCATCCACTCGCACCATCCGATCCCACATCCAGCATCCACTCACATTGTCCGAGTCCACCTCCTGCAGGATAGCATCAATCTCGCCTGGCAGCAGTGCCTCCTCCTTGCTCAGGGCCTCGCGCAGCTCCTCCACCGTGATGTACCTGGCAGGGGAAAAGGGGGGTGTGGGGGATTTGTGGGGGGGTTTATGGGGGTGGGAGAGGAGAGCCCGTCGCAGGGGAAAGGGCAGTAACATCAGCAGCAGCGCCTCCTCCTTGCTCAGCGCCTCAGCAGCTCCTCCACCGTGATGTACCTGGCAGGGAGGAGGGGGGGGTGTCGGTGGGGGGGAGTGTGTGCTGGAAAAGAGTCATACCATGGAGTGGGGGACAGGGCGTAGGGACAATTGCGAGGGGGGCCTACTAGGATGGAGGAAGGAGGGAAGGGCAAGCACAAAATGCAGCGTCTCCTTGCTCAGCGCCTCACGCAGCTCCTCCACCATGATGTACCTGGTGAGAGAAGGCGGTTGTGGGGGGTTGGTGTGGGGTGGGGTGGGGGGGGGAGGGTTGAGGCTGGAGTGTGGACGAGACACCAAGGGTTTAGGTGGATGTACGTTGAACGCATTGCATGCAGGTGGGTGGATCCACCGTGATGGTGTGGTGGAGGGGTGCAGACGAGATGAGCTTTGAGTCGACTCAAAAGTGATGGTGTGGCGGAGGGGCAGGCAGGGGGGAGGAAACCGTCCATGGGGGAGGAAGCCATCCATGGGGGAGGAAACCTCTACCAGGAGAACTACTTGCAGGAGGAATGTAGGACAGCATGGAAGAGGTTATTTTTGAGGCGCCTCAAAAATAGACTCCTCACAAATGTAGTACAGCATGGAAGAGGTTCTTGTCCTTCTCCATGCTACCACCACCCACACAGTGCCACTCGCACAGACAGGGACAAACACTCGCAACCAGCGCACCAAGCCACTTACCCGCTGCTGTCGGCGTCGAAGTGTTGGAAGGCCTGGAAGAGGTTCTCCTTCTCACGAGCAAGACTCAGTTCACGCACATAGACACACACAACCGTACTGCACCCTACAACACCGCTTCAACCACCCACCCGCTGCCGTCGGCGTCGAAGTGTTGAAAGGCCTGGAAGAGGTTCTCCTCCTTCTCCACCTTGTTCATGTGGATGGTCGCCGTGATGAACTCCTGGTAGTCGATCGTGCCGCTGTTGTCCACGTCAGCCTGCCACGTGGCACCAAGGGGGGGGGGGGAAAGGGAGGTTTGTTGTCCACGTCAGTCTGACGTAGCATTGTAGCGGGGATGGGGAGAGGGGGGGCAGGAGAGTTGGGGGGGAGAGGGGATGGGATGGAGGTGGATAGTCTATTTGGCACAAGTGGGGTGTATGCATACTCATTGGTGAGGGCTAATGTGAGCTTGTGACACAATGCAAAACTCTATGGTGGCCTACTGTGTGACAGGGTTCTCCTGCACCATTATCCCCACTATAGATGCTCCACTCACCCATCAGTATCCCTATTCAGGCCGATTCCATCTTCTTGAGCCCCTGCTTGAGCTCCGATACAGTGCTGCACTAACCCATCAATATCCCCGTTATAAGGTGCAGCATTACCCCCTTTACGAGGAGCTGCACTCACCGCCTCCATGAGCTGCCGCACTTGGTCCTCGGGCATGTTGGAACCCATCTTCTTGAGCCCCTCCTTGAGCTCCTACCGAGTGCCCCACTCACCCATCACTATCCCCCTTACAGAGTGCTGCACTAACCCAATACTATCCCCTTTATAAGGCAACTCACCGCCTCCATGAGCTGCCGCACTTGGTCCTCAGGCATGTTGGAACCCATCTTCTTGAGCCCCTCCTTGAGCTCGTCGAATGTGATCGACCCGCTGCCATCCTCATCGATGCTCTTGAACATCTCTTTGAGCCCCATGATCTCCTCTTCGGACATGTGGCTCGCAATGACCTGGAAGGGTTGGTGTGGGGGGGTTGGTGTGGGGGAGTTGGTATGGAAGGGTTGGTGTGGGGGGAACGGAAGAGACAGGAGAAGGGGGTAAGGCAGAGGTCGACCTGCTGCCATCCTCATCGATGCTCTTGAACATCCTCCTTGAGCCCCATGATCTCCTCTTCCGACATGTGGCTCACAAACACCTGGAGCAAAGGGGGAAAGGGTGGGGGGAGGGGAGGGATGAGTGAAAGGAAAGAGGGCGCACGAGAGGCAAGGCAGAGGTCGACCCGCTGCCGTCCTCGTCGATGCTCTTGAACATCTCCTTCAGCCCCACGATCTCGTCTTCGGACATGTGGCTTGCGATCTCCTGGGGGCAACAGGATATGGTAGAAGGGGAACAAGGAGCAATAGGGGTTGAGCACATTGCCATCCTCATCGATGCTCTTCAACTTCTCCTTCAACCCCATGATCTCCTCTTCGGACACGTGGCTCGCAATGACCTGCACGTCGACAGGGAGCCCTGGGGGGGGGGGGAGTGGAGGGGAGGGGAGGAGGGGGTGTGGGGAGGTGGAGAGCGAGCAGGGGGCAAGGCAGAGAGGGCCGCTGCTGTCCTCGGTGATGCTCTTGAACATCTCCTTCGTGGCCCATGTTATCTGGAGTTGAAAGGTAAGAGGGGGAGGGGAGACGGGGAGATCGGGGGGGGGTGCGGGGGGCGGGGGGGGGGTGGGAGGGGGCTCTCGACATGTACATGGGAACTGCTTCAGCTTGCTCACCTTACACCGGGCAACAGAGCCAGCATCCAATTTCACCTTGCGCCTTCATCTCACCTTGCGCCTTCGTCTCACCCTGACCGCCTCTCACCTTAACCGCCTCTCACCTGGACTGCCTCTCACCTGGACCGCCTCTCACCTTAACCGCCTCTCACCTTAACCGCCTCTCACCTGGACCGCCTCTCACCTGGACCGCCTCTCACCTTAACCGCCTCTCACCTTCAATGCGAGGCGCTTCATCTGGTTTAAGGCCGAGAACCCAAGTCCTTGAACCTAAGTCCCTTCATCCAATCTCACCTTGAGCGCAAGGCGCTTCATCTTGTTCATAGCCGAGAACTGCTTGAGCTTCGTCAGCACCGCTGAGTCCAGAGGCACGTCCGACGCCTCTCCGTCCACCTTCACCCACGGGTGCTCTGAGGGAGGGGCGGGAACGAGGGGAAGGGCGGGAACGAGGGGAAGGGCGGATGGTGGAGGTGTGAAAAGAGGAGTTAGTAGCATAATGCTAGCCTCCTCGTCCCCCCTCTGATGCCTCTCACATGATTCTCTCGTCTAATGCTACTCTCTGATGCCTCTCACACAATTCTCTCGCCTAATGCTACTCTCTGATGCCTCTCAAACCATTCTCTCGCCTAATGCTACTCTCTCCGATACCTCTCCGTCAACCTTCACCAACCATCGCGAGAGTAACCAGCCTAATGCTTGAAAGAACAACCCTAGCGCCTCAAAAGCATCCACCCTGGAGTCCCTAAAGCCACTCACGGAGCACTTCGCGCGCGGACATGCGGTCCTTGGCGTCCTGCTTGAGCATGCGCTTGATGAGGTCCTTGGCGCTCGACGAGATGAGCGGCCATGGGTCGGACGAGAAGTCGATGTGCCCCTTGAGCACGGCGTCGAAGATGCCCTGCTCGCTCTCTGGCAGGGGGGGGGGGAGGGAAGGCAGGGTTGTGGCGGTGAACAGCAGAGGGGAAAAGGAATGAGCGACGCAGCATTGGGGTCGATGTGCCCCTTGAGCACCGCGTCGAAGATGCCCTGCTCGCTCTCTGGCAGGGGAGGGAGGGGGCGGGGAGGGGGGGAGAGGAGAGGCACGAAGGGGAAACGGGGGGGGGAATGGGACAGGAACGGGGATGCCATTTTTGAGGCGCCTCAAACATAGACTCCTCACGCATGCGACAGGAACGGGGATGCCAAGTTGGAAGAGCAAGACGCGAGAAGGGAGAGTAGAGTTAGGTCAACGCGCCCATGCTGTGGATATTCTTGAGGCGCCTCAAAAACAGACTCCGCCCATGCCACGGATATTTCTGCTCCCTCTTTATGAGTGCCGCGGGGTCGGACGATGGGACGGTCGGAAGGGTGGAGAGGGATGGGGAAAGGCGGAGAAGGATGGGGACGGGGGGGGAAGCGGGGAGGACACAGCTGACCTGGCCACAAGGGCGGCAGACTGACCTGCCAGAATGGGCGGAAAATCAACTTGCACAGTAAAACACACTACTGACCTGCACACAAGGGCGGCACACTGACCTGCCCACAAGGGCGGCACACTGATCCACCTTCTATTACCGTTACGAGTCAAACCTAAAGCCTTAGAAGGGGTACAGACCTGCCCAGAACGGAGGCACGCCGCAGAGCAGGATGTAGAGGATGACGCCGCAGCTCCACACGTCCGCCTCCGGCCCGTACTTTCGCCGAAGCACCTCGGGCGCCACGTAGTACGCGCTGCCCACGATGTCGGAAAATGTTTCGCCTGCCCGAGCGGGACACGGGCAAGGGCCGCGACGGAAGGAGAAAGAGAAATGAGAAATTTGTAAGCTGACGTGTAACGCGGCAGCTGGGTTGCCACGTGGCAGGCACTCCTGGTGGGCACTGCTGTGCTCTTGTAGAGCTCGCTAGCCCGCGCTTCGCTATCCGCTTGGGGGGACGGTGGGACATTGTAACCAGATGAGTTGGTTACCAGGTTGACTCCAAAGGCAACTGGCTACAATGTTACTGTTTGCTAGCGTGCACTTCACTGATCGCTTGACGGATGGTGGGTTGGAAAATAGGAGATAGGCTCCCATAACCAAGCTACTGGTCAGCTACGACAGTCTACCTAGTGCGTCGCATCCTTGGAAAATAAAAAAAAATGGACGCAAAGATTTCGCAGACCAGAAGCGGATGACCCCCCCTCCCTCCCCCCCCCAAAGAAAAAAATACAGGCGATTTTCTTCTTCTTAGACCCAGCTCACCCGGCTTGTAGAAGATCGAAAGGCCGAAGTCGGTGGCCTTGAGAGGCGCGTCCTCCTTCTTGCTAGCAAGCAGGAAGTTCTCGGGCTTGAGATCGCGGTGCATGACGCCATTGGCGTGGCAGTACTCCACAACCGACACCACCGTGCGGATCAGCGTCGCCGCAGCGCGCTCGCTGTAATGCCCGCGCGCGATGATGCGGTCGAACAGCTCGCCGCCCGCGCACAGCTCCATCACAATATGCACCGAGTGCTTATCCTCATAAGCACCCTTCATTTTAACGACGTTCGGGTGGTCGACCAGGTGGTGCATGATGGCGACCTCTCGCTTGACATCCTCCACGTCCTCCGCGGTAACCAGCTTGCGCTTGGCGATGGACTTGCACGCGTACTGCTCGCCCGTGCTCTTGTCGGTGCAGAGATACGTCACGCCGAACTGGCCTCGCCCCAGCTCGCGCCCGATCGTGAAGTGGTTCTTAACGTCCTCCGCCGGCCGGCCGAGCACGTTCGCCGTCAGGTTGCCGGCTTTTTTAGATCCGCCAGACGCGGACTTAGCGGTCGCTGCAGGTGCGGAGTCGGCTGCGGTAGAACCGGCGCTAGCATTGGTTGCTCCAGCGGTGGTTGACGGCGGAGCAGCGGCTTCCGCTTTAGGCGCAGCGGAGGGGGGACCGTCGTCTGTCGCGGGCTTGGAAGCGCAACAGCCCATTTTTCCGGAGCTTGTGGAGAAAAATAGTCGTTGTGTAGCACGCAACAAAAAATGTAATAAGCGACTGTTGAACGCCTTGCTGAAGGCTACCAAAAATGTAAAACTACGACTCCGTATTTCTGACCTAACCAGTGTGTATTCCGGTAAACTAGCAAACCTGACCGAGAACCACGGTCCTGATACGCAACCAGCAGAAACGCCGATCGCAGTAACCGCCGACGAGGCGTATAGAAAATGCCTCACAACCGCGACTCAGTGTGCTTGGCAACTATTTTGTGTAAACAATCTCCTAGACCAATACCCAGGCGGAAGTACAGGGGGAGGGGAAAACAGGCAGGACGAGGTTTGAGGAGAGCGCAAGCAGGTTCTCGGTCAAATGAAACCATTACTCTCGGAAAATCGATTGTCTTTCACACAAGGTGAACTATCATTCACTTCGGGTAAAAAACAACATGCTCAAAGACGTTTCATAACACAGTTGTTTTACAAAAACAACTGCTACATAAATTATAAAAAATTTATAAAAAAAATCTATTTCGGGGCAAACTGTTGAGGTTTCGGGCGAACCTGGGCAAACAACCGAGGCTCTGCGCAAGGTCACGTGCGCAAGCATTCGATTCCATGCGCGGTGCAGAATTGAGTGTGCAGGACCGGCGCAACTGTCATTCCCCAAGGGAAGTGAAGTGAAGCGCGCGGGCGCGCAACTGGTATTCAAGGAGATGCTCGGAGGGTGCCCCTTGGCGACTCCGTCCCCCAAAACTGGGACCAGACCTATGGCGGCGCGCTTGTCGTTCCGAAAGAGCGCGACGTGTTTGCGAAAACATAAACGGCAGGCCGACCCGCTGGTGGGTAAATGGGGTACGTGTATTTATTGACCACCATTAGCACTAAAAGTAAATAATGTGGGAATTAGCACAAGCTTACTTGTGGGTAATTTGATAATGTAATGAGCCTTTGTGCAGTCTAAAGAGACTCCAGTGAAGGAAATTAAACAATCTAGAGCATGTCTATTATATGCTATAAAAAACTCCATTGGGAGTCACACACAGGTCCGCATAAATATTTTCAATACAGCAAATGCAAAACAAATCGTTGAACATATATATACTTCATACACCGCACAAGCAAAATACCGTAGTGCATCCTACCTCATACCTTGCTTCCCTTACATCTAAAACAACGCTGTCTCAAAACTAAAGATTGAGATGTAGATCCAGTCCATCGTCATGTGCTCCGAGCGCTACTTCCCTATCACTATCAGCTCCAGGTGTTGCTTCAACCACCAGTTGCTCAAGCACATTCTCCTCTTCCTCGTTTCCAACAATGAAGGGCCTACCTCGATGGTTCTCCCCTCTATGGCGCTCCCCTCGATGGTTCTCCCCTCGATGGGGCTCCCCTTGATCTGGCTCCTCTTGATGGGGCTCACCCCCAGGTTGAGAGAAACTACCGAGTGCCACACGAGAGGCAATACCCGCACCCGCAAACCAAGCAGAAGCATCCAAACCACCACTGTGGTTACCCACATTAGCCTGCATTTGCCAATCCTGCGCAAAAGCTGAGTTAACACCAGCTCTAACCACATGCTGCTGCTGCTGCTGCTGCTGCTGGTGCTGGTGCTGGTGCTGGTGCTGCAGCATTTGGATCTGCGGTGTTTGCATTGGTGGCGCTTGCTGCTGCCGTTGTATTTGCAGCTGTTGCTGCTGTTGTTGCTGTTGTTGCTGCTGCTGCTGCTGCTGCTGCTGCTGCTGCTGCTGTTGCTGCTGTTGCTGCTGCTGCTGCTGCTGTTGCTGCTGTTGCTGCTGCTGCTGCTGCTGCTGTTGCTGTTGCTGCTGCTGCTGCTGAGCAAGCAGCAGAGACTGGGCGGCAAAGAGTTCGTTCTGAGGAGAGGGGCTGGGTGCTTGCTGCGAGAGATACATCTGCAGGGCGTGCATGAAGGAGGGGGGAAACGGGAGTGTAGAGGGGGGAAACGGGAGAGCAGACGAGGGAAACGGGAGTGTAGAGGTGGGAAACGGGAGCATTGTGGGGGGCTGCAGAGGATAAGGAAGGAGGGAGTGAGGGAGCAGCTGTTGGAAAGGCTGCTGGAAAGGCTGCTGGAAAGGCCCAGAGAGCGAGTTAAGGGCGGAAAGAGGGGAGGGGTGAATGGGAGACTGTACGGGGGGTTGGGGGGGCTGCATGGGTGCCTGGGGTTGCATAAGTGCCTGGAGGTGCATGGACGCCGCGGGATGCATGGGAGGAGGCAGCATGGGAGGTTGGGGTGGTATGAGCGGGGGTGCTCCAGGGTTGAAAGGCGAGAGGAACGGCTGGGCTGCCACAGATGGTAGGCCTGACACAGGCGTGATTGCTGGTGGTGCTGCCGCTGCTGCTGCTGCTGCTGCTGCTGCTGCTGCTGCTGCTGGTGGTGGTGGTGGTGGTGGTGCTGCTGCTGCTGCTGCTGCTGCTGCTGCTGCTGCTGCTGCTGCTGCTGGTAGTGGTGGTGGTGGTGTTGGTGGTGGTGCTGGTGGCGGTGGTGGTATAGCCATGGCTGCTGCCACTGCTGCTGCTGCACCTACTGCTGGTGGCGCTGCTGGTGCTGCTGGTGCTGCTGGTGCTGCTGGTGCTGGTGGCGCTGCTGGTGCTGCTGGTGCTACTGCTTCTGCTGCTGGTGCCATTGCTGCTGATGCTGGTGCTGCTGGTGGTGCCACCGCTGCTGGTGGTAGTGGTGGTGCTGGCAATGCTTTGGTTGGGCCCTCTGCTGGTGATGTGGACGTAAGAGCTCGGTTGCCTGTAGACCGCACCCATGCACCAGAAACACCTGAAACACCTGAAGCACCTGAGGCACCTGAAGCACCCGAAGCACCTGAAGCACCTGAGGCACCTGAAGCACCCGAAGCACCGGATGCACCCGAAGCACCTGAAGCACCTGAAGCACCTGATGCAGCTGCCGCTGCTGCAGCAGCCACCTCTCGCCTCACCACCGAGAGTACGTGTGACACAAACGAGGGGTCCTGTAGCAGTGCCTCTTGCATCAACAGCTGCTGCTGTTGCTGTGATTGTTGTTGCTGCTGCTGCTGTTTCTCTTGCTGCTGCTGCTGCTGCTGCTGCTCTGCCAGCACTTGTGCCTGGGTGGGCAGTCCTGTGGCAGGAAGAAAGGAGAACAGCGGCAGCTGAGACCACGGAAGACCCGACTGGACCTTTCCTCCCCTCTCTGCCTCGCGCCCTACTCCTCCCCATGTCACCACATCCCCACCATCATTGTCCCCCTCTTCCTTCACCTCTCTTCTGCCTCCTCTTGTTCCTCCATCTCCCTCTATTCCTCTCAGCCGTTTGGCTGCTCTACCCTCCCCCAGGTCTCTACCTGCTGGCGCCTTTTCATCCCTAGCAACAGCAGCACCACCACTCACCTTATCATCCCTAGCAACAGCAGCACCGCCACTCACCTTATCATCCCTCCTTCCACTCTCAACGACGTCTGCCCTCCCCCTCCTCCCACCACTCCCACCACTCCCACCACTCCCACACCCCCCACTGGTCCCACACCCCCCACCACTCTCACTCCTGTCAAAGCTGCTGTCCCTTTCTGCACCGCCCCCACTACTCTCACTCCTCCCACCTCCCCCCCTCTCCATCGTCTCACCATTCGTCGCAACTCCTCGCCCACACCTTGTGTAGTGAGTCGATTTTTGAGTCGACTCAAACATCGTCTCACCCCTCATCGCATTTCCTCGCCCACCCCTTCCCTCGCCCTCCACTCTCTCTCCACTCCCTTCCCCTCCTCTCCTTCCCTCCCCTCCCTCCTCTCTCCTTCCCTCCCCTCCCTCTCCTCCCCTCCCCTCTTCCACCCCTTTCCTTTCCTCAAGCACCCACTCTGTCCCCTCCCCATATTCACCTCCTCTCTCTCCCCTTTTCCCTCCTCCCTCTCTTACTTTAGTACCTCCTCCTCCTCCCACTCCGTCTCTTATCTCAACCCGTCCCATGCACCCCTTCCCCATCCTGTCTACATCAGCAGCAGCATCAGCGCCATCAGTAACGCCCACACCACCACGCATGTGCTCAGCTGCTACCAAACCACCAGCGCCAGGGCTAGCCGCAGCAGCAGCAGCAAGTGCACCAGAAGCAGCGGCAACGTTTTCGGACGCGAAGTCACTAGCAGCGGAAACAGTGGCGGAAGCAGCAACAGTGATGGTGGCAGAGCCAGGCACAGCAGCCGGAGGGAAGGGGATGTTACGGGCGGGCGGGTGGCAGTGCTTTCCGGAATATACAATCCGCAGACCCCCAGCAATGGCTGCTCGCACCAGGGGGATGTCGATCGTCTTCTTCGCCGTGCACCCGATAGTGTACTTTGCGCACCGGAAATACGCCCTGAGAGCCCGAGCGGGGTTTCGGTAGGGGACCGTCGAGCGATGAGTGGAAAATTTTGGAGAAAGGACAACAAGGTAGATCATGACGTGCAAAGAGGCCAATCACTTCCTCACTCTCGACTCGCAGACAGAGTGCTCGACCTGCGAGTGCTTGTTCTGCTCCTGAGGCGCGTAAAAAATTCAAAGGCTTGAACTGTGTAACGATGACTGCATGCACAGACAGTCACAGCCACGTTCCAGCCTGCGACAGAACGTGCACATTCTCAGCATGTGCAGCGACTGCGTGCACGTTCAGTCGCAGCCACATTCTCTCCCACCTTAACATACTTTGTTCGGTGTACAGTGTTGCAAGTGCCTCAGACTCGTTACAAGCCTTTGAGCTGACCCAAAAAGCGCTGTCATGACACATGTTCACACGTCAGACATTACATTGACGACGCATGTTACATCGCATGTTTCATAGAATGCTGCGTCGCATGTTTCACCGCATGCTGCGTCGCATGTTTCACCGCATGTTGCCTCGCCTTGCGTATTCCACTACCCATCATCCGGTGCACGACGCAGAGGTCACCTAAGCTCTCGCCTCATGAATCTTACCTTCCAGCCTTTTCAAGCGGCCTCACCTCGCGTATTCCCTCTCCATGAGGCACTTCTGCCCGTACTTGTGCCAGTGGTACCCGTCGTCCGGTGCGCTCAGCCGCGGTGGGGACGCTGCCACGGTGGGGCCAACACTGGCTGCAGTACCCGGAGCTGCACCAGCAACTGTAGCATCGGTAGCAACGGTCGATGCGGTAGCAGGAGAACCACTAGCAGCAGCAGTAACAGCAGCAGCAGCAGCAGCACTGGCACTGCTAGTAATGATGGTAGTGGTAGTGGTGGTGGTGGTGGCGGTGGCGGCGGAATCAGGGGCTGCTGGAACCGCGTGCGAGGGGTGAGAGGCCGTTTGCTCATTCCCATGCCTCAAAGAGAATCTGAAGGGGGGAGGAACGGGTGGGAGTGAGGGAGGGGAACGGCTGGGAGCGAGGGAGGGGAACGGGGGGGAAGTGAGGGAGGGGAATGGCTGCGAGTGTGGGAGGGAAATGGGTAGGAGAGTGGGTGGGGAACGGGTGGGAGCGAGGGAGGGGAACAGTTTCCTTCCGAGAGTCAGTAGTCCCTCACCTCAGTACCCTCTTGTTGCGAGCTGGTGCGCACAACACCATCAACCTCTGTGTATCTCCTACCAACTTTCTCTCTCTCTCTCTGTCTCTCTCTCTCTCTCTCTCTCTCTCTCTCTCTCTCTCTCTCTCTCTCTCTCTCTCTCTCTCTCTCTCTCTCTCTCTCTCTCTCTCTCTCTCTCTCTCCCCCCTCTCTCTTTCCTCCCTCTCTCCCCCCCTTCTCTCTCTCCCCCAACTCTCTCTCTCTCTCTCCCTACCTCCCTCTCTTTTACCCCTCTCTCCTCCCCCCCCCCCTCTCTCGCTCCCCACCTACCTCCTTTCATGCATCCCCTACCTGGCTCCAGCAGCGTCTGCCCCCATGCCTGCTGATATCGCCCCCATTATTGATTTTGAGTTGACTCAAAAGCTCTCTTGCTCCCCCCTCTCTCGCTCTCCCCTCTCTCTTTCCCCCCACTCTGTCCCCCCTCTTTCGCTCCCTACCTACCTCCTTTCATGCATCCCCTACCTGGCTCCAGCAGCGTCTGCCCCCATGCCTGCTGACATCGCCCCCAAAGCCCCTGTGTCTGCTGCAGCGGCATTCCGGAAACTGCTGCCCTCTGCTGCCCCTGCTGTCCCTGCTGCCCCTGCTGCCCCTGCTGCCCCTGCTGCCCCTGCTGCCCCTGCTGCCCCTGCTGCCCCTGCTGCCCCTGCTGCCCCTGCTGCCCCTGCTGCCCCTGCTGCCCCTGCTGCCCCTGCTGCCCCTGCTGCCCCTGCTGCCCCTGCTGCCCCTGCTGCCCCTGCTGCCCCTGCTGTCCCTGCTGCCCCTGCTGCCCCTGGTGCCCCTGATCTTCCTTCATTTGCTTCCGCCATAGCTGCTGCTCCAGCGTACACCATCGCTGCAAATGCAGAGGATGCTTCTGCCCCTACCCCTGCTCCTGCTCCTGCCCTTACTCCTGCTCCTGCTCCTGCTCCTGCTGCCGCTCCTGCTGCTGCTGCGTTAGTAGCGTCCTCCCTAGTTGTGGTACTACAAGTAGGATCCCCAAAGAAAGCGCCGGACATCTCAGCCATGTTGCCGGCCCGGATATTGGGAACAGAGGGAGGAGATATGCCTCGAGGCATGCCAACCGACTGTAACGACGCCATCAGCGACGGTGGTAACCAGCCTTGATCTTGCCGTTGCTGGCGGACGGCTGAGATGGAGTGTGAAGCCATAAGGGTGCTAGTCTGGTGAGGATAACTCGACGGAGCTATGAATGTATCGGAGCGGACTGTAAAGGGGTCCAGCAGGGGATGGGGAAGAGCAGGAGGCGGTGCAGAGAAATACGGAGCTATGGCAGCATAGTAGGCGACAAACGCTGCGAGCTGATGCGGAGCCAGCGAGCCAATGGCAGAGAAGGGCGGGATACCACCTCCTGGAAGAGCAGTAGCCAGTGGGTTGACTGAGCTCCCACTCACCGTGGTACTACTGACATTGGGCGGGCTGAAATAGCCAAATCTAGGGTAGAGCGAAGCGCCAACAGAGGGCGGTTGGCTAGTACTAGGAGTAGGAATACTACTAGAAGTGGTGAAATCCGGGCCAGTAACATTACTAGTCAGAGTCTGAGTTTGACTTCGCCAATGCCACTGCCTCTGAGCTGACCTGGCGGTGCTCTCATGGGGAAAATGCTCTCTAGTACTAGTGGCCGCGTCACCTTGAGCTTGCAATTCGCTGATGCCAGCGGCGGAAGCTGGACCGCCGCGTTGCGGCCACATGATGAGGAGTCTATTTTTGAGGCGCCTCAAAAATAGACTCCTCAAGCTGGACCTCCGCGTTGCGGCCTCATGATGGTAGTACCGGCAGATGCTCACACTGCCGCGCCACTGAACAACACTCGTTTTAACTGGCGGTTACCCCCCTGTATGAAACAAGCGGAAGGTTGCTGCTGTGATGCGCTGTACTACCTCTCACGACTCTGACGTGGCAAAGATCCTCAGATCTGCAGCTAGATTTAAACAGATGTAGCGGCAGCACAAGCAGCAGCAGCAGCAGCGGCCAGCTAAGGCGGCCAGTTAAGGCGGCGGCTCAACCAGTAGAAGCAGCAGAAACTCCTGCTTCAAGAACGGCGGCTTGTCCATACGCGCTCCTGCTTCCGTTGTCTCCCGTCCACTTTTTGCAGAAATCGGAGGAAGCCGATAAATTGTGGGTTGGAGCTTGCCGGTCCTTCCACGGTCCGAGTGCAGATCTGGCGGTCCCGACGATGCTCGAACGTATTTATTGTTTTTTTTTCGTTTTCCAGAGGCAAATTTCAGCATGCACTAGAAGGCAGCGGAGATGGCCCGATGAGGAGTAAAGATGGCTGCTTCCGCCGCGGAAATCCAGATGGAAATTGAAGTTAAAAATACGCGCAAGAGAACGCGCTGAGATCTAGGAAAACCCCTTTGAGACGAACCAGCATCATGAGAATGTTAGCTCGGAACATGATGCCCGCAAATCTGTAATGGAGTGAAGCGAACCAACCAACCAACCACCCAACCAACAGTTGAGCTCAGCTCAAATGGCAACTGTCTCCTAACCTGACCAACTCTTCTGAAAGAAGAGCCCAAGGTGGGTCATCATCTGGTCTCTCTGACTCCTGCAAGCAATCAAAAGTTCAAACCCTCATCCCTGACCAACTTTCCGCGTAACGATCTGGCTACTCTTCGCCAGCCAACCGCAGTTCTCCATTTGATTCCCAATGAGGGTTTGGAAGTCCGGTCAGCTCTTTGGTCGTGCGACGAAAATAAATGGACCTGGTCCCAAGGTAAACACCCCAACCCCAACATGTTTACGCAAACGCGTTTCACATACGGTGCGGTGCGCTTTCAAGCGCTGTTTCAGCACAAAGCAGTATGGAGATTTCCCTTCTAGCTGAGATAACACATGAACTAGCTTTGAAACGCTTTGGAAAACTTACAGCAACATAAACACATATACGGACCCATAATTATTGGCATCCCATTCATGAAACCTAGTTCTCTATTCATGGTACAGTAACTGAGACTGGAGGTTGTGACGGATCTACTGTGCTCCGAACGAAACGCAAACGGCAATCTAAAAATGTCCTCCTGCAGGGGCGTTGGAAGGATGGAAGTTCTTTCTAGACCGCATCTCTCACACCCAGAAACGACAAGGTCCACCGCACTTCAGTGCGAACCGCGTTTATCGGAGCGCTCGGAGTTGAAGCGACTCGGATGTTCAGCGGTGGATCCCCGCTACAGAATATCCGCAATACTTGAACGTCGTGAAGTTGCAGATGTGAAGTATCTTTGTAGTTCCTCTCATGTATCGGATGCATGTAGGTTTCAACATGTTTTGCACGCTGATCCTTTCAAGGCTTTTTCCGTCCAGCCAATAGTTCACCATCTCAAAAGCCCGTCACCAAAATACAATCTTGCCACTTGCGCTATGAGGACGAGAATGAATTAGGCAATTTACTAGCTCGTAACAAAACATCACCCTAGCAAACTAAAACGCAAGCGATCACATACGGAAGTGATGGTTACCAACAGGGCCTCAGCTAGGATTTTGGGCATCCTGTCTACTCAGGGCTAGGCCTTGAAACCAAGTGTACTGGTCAGGGTTGGACATCAATGTTCATACTGTTTTGTCAGGGTTGGCATCCAGCACTTAACTGCAGCCTCAGGGTAATCTTCAAAACAGCCCAAAATGTTGCTTTAACTATACTAATCGCAGTATAACACCAGAGACAATCAATATTCACAGTACAACAGCGTACATGTGGCTTGACTCAGAAATTTCCACTATCCTCATCATCACTAGAACTAAACCCGCTGCTGGAGCAGCTGTTCTCATCGTCCGCTCGTGCCTCATCATCATCATGCTCCTCTTCGGACAACACCACCACTTTCTCTTTGCCCTTGTCAGACTTCCTCGCACGCACTTCCCTCTGGTGGGCCCTCCTTGGCCGTCTCTTCTTCATGCCGCGCCACACCTCAATGACCCTATCCCAGTTCATGTCATACTCCAGCAAACTCATGCACATCAGATCCTCCAGCTTCCCGTTGCACAGACTCGTCCGGTTCCAGCTCTTAATCACATTTTGTCGCGAGAATCCCCTCTCGCACTCAACAGTGCTCAGAGGAAGCACTGCCACAGCCACCCACAGGCGCACGAGATTCGGGTAGCTGCGCGGCCAGTCGCTGGTCTCCAGGATGGCTGCAAGTCCGGCATGGAATGGCTGCTCCTCTTTTGGCACACCAGCAAGCACTGGCACGAGGGTGTTGAGTTCCTTGCGTGCCAGCCGCTTGTCGACTCCTGCCAGACACATACAGGAACAGCAACACTCGTAAATCAGCGCAGGGATGTGGAGGCATCAGGAACCAGAGTAATGTACTGCAATATTTCAGCAAGTTGGGCATATAATATCCATTGGCATGGATCACCTTACCTGGCAGAATTTCAACGCGGTCGCTGGCGTGGAAGAGCTCGACCACGCTGTCAAAGTGCTCGGCGCACTCCTCGTCCCTCGCCTCCGTGTTCCGCGGCCATGTTCGGGGCATCCACAGCTTTGACCCATTGAGCCGCTCAAGGTCGCCGAGCCGGAGCTGCACGTTGTAGACGAGCTCGGTCGCGTACGAGCGACAGGTGAGCGTGCAGGAAGCTTTGTCGCCGCGGGCAGTGGTGTAGTTTGGCAGTGGCTCCTCGTGAAGCTCGAATTGATGCACTCGCTCCACTCCGTCTGCATCAACGCCCTGCACGATCACATTTCGGCTGCTGGCGTGGCGCTCCAGAAACTTGGACAGGCGATCGCTGTTCGTGCCGAAGTTAGGCCCGCAGTTGACGTAGCGCGAACGAATGAAGACGATCGTTCGCCGTACCTGCGACTGCACGCCCGTCAGGTCGATCTGTAGGAGGGTGTCGTGGGATGAAAGAAGAACAAGAGGCAGTAAGTATTTTTTTTATTGACGGCAGTATGTTTTTTGTTTGAATTGGTTGTTAACCATTGCAACCGCAGTGGCTCACCTCGCGCTTCTGGAACAGCAGATTGAGGCTGTTGAGCTCCTCGTGCACGTCGGCGAGGAAGTACAGGAAAAAGTGAAACTTGTACGATGTGACGATGTGGTACATGGGTTTGTCGTAGAGGTGCAGTAGAACGATGACAGCAGGAAGCACCGCCACCAGCCTCAGAATGGCGCCGCCACGACTGAGCCACCGAACAAGGTGAATCCCTTGCATCTCCAGGTTTGTCGCCGTGAAGATCTTTTGGAGCTCCTTGAACATCTTGTGCCAGTTGTGTGAACGCCCCAGCAGCTCAGCAACCGCGCGGATGATGGCATCCACAATTCCCAGCTCAGGCAGCGCGTTGGCAGCATCTCTGGCAGCGAGGGCTTCCCTGGATGGACGGGAGTAGAAACATGACGAAACAGTGGTTAGTGCACGGTTTTCTAAACGGGATATGAAGTCTATGCATGAACGAACCGATGCGCTATGCAGTGGACAGAAACCACACGCGGGATCCGCTGTCGAAGGCGCCCAACGACCCCGTTCGTGGCTCCAACCATCACAGCGGCACCGTCGGTGCTGATGCCTGACACCTTCGAGAGACTGATGCCGATGCTATCGAGGTAAGCGACAAGAGAGCCTTCCAGAGAAGCTGCATCACATTTGTCGACAGGAAGAAGCGTTAGAAACTCTGTGACAACGACGCGCTCGCGAAGGAACGTAGCAAACACAATCATGTGTTTGCCACGAACTCTGTCGGTACTCTCGTCACAGCTCAAGCCAATGAACGGGCTTGACTCCAAGTACTCCCGTTGACGAGCTCGAAGGTACATGGCTGTCGACTTGGTTAACTCCTGAAAGCCATACCTGCGCAAACCATGCAGGGAGATTAGTACATGCGAGAGATCAAGACATGTTAAAGTAAACGAATAAAACACCCAGGGACTTACGTTGTGAAGTAAGACCCGTAGCCTCGTTTGGGAAAACCAGGAGTACGTCGCTTCGAGAGGTGCCGCACGAGTTGCACCCACATCTCGATGGGCGCGTCGGACTGACAGATGAAAAGCAGAGTCTCCAGCAGTGCAGTAACACGCTCGCGCTGGACGGTATGTGTTTTCGCCAAGTCCTCCATGCGCAGCTGCCCCTCAGCGATCGCAGTGGCGGTGGCTTGTCTCCGCATCGCTCTCTTGTGCTTCCGCGTGCGCTGTTGGTTCTGCATCGCTTGCGTCTGGACGTCGGTCGCACCTTCTCCGCCCTTGCCGTAGTTTGTTCCGGGCCCGCCATGTTCCATGCAAATCTTACACTTCAAAGCCGGGAATCCTGCACGGGTCTGATTAAGCACAAGCCAAGGAAAGTCAGTACTCCACCGCTTTTTAAATTGCCAGAGAGCCTCCTGGTACTTTCGTTCGGCCACGTCTTCAAGTTCGGTGTCCGATGACGAAGTCGGAGCTGCAGATGGTCCTGAAACAACGGGAGGGACGACATGCAGAGTCGGAGCAGGAGTGTTTTGCGACCGCCCGAAACTCAGGGTTGCCTGCCGATAGCGTGAGGGCTCGAGCTTCTTCGACGGCGGTCCAATACGGGTCGACCCTTGATTCAAAGACGTGCGAGGCGTAGTGCTTCGCTGAGGTGGTGTAGCTACAGCAGGGCGAGATGCCTCCTCTACTACTTCTGCGGTGTGCGTTCGAGGGGGAGGTGCCGATGCAGGAGGATTTCTTCGCAGTAAGTCTAATCCTGTCACGGCACCAGGGTGGGACGCTGTAGAAGGATCGTCGGGAGCCTCCTCCTCGTCGTCAGTTCCTGACGCGAGCATAGTGCCCCCTAACGAGGGGGCGGTTCACAGCAGAGAAACAGACCAACGAGCACAAGCTCTGTCGTCTAGAATGGTTGGATGATTCAAGTTCAACCAAGGCATGAAAGGGAGCTGTGGGGAGGAAGGACCATCGGAGGAAGGCATGAAAGGGAGCTGTTCTGTCAAGACGCGGGAGTTTGGTCCTCCCCACATGGAGTGCTTGGCCGTCCAAACATCCCTGCATGCAATGCTGCTTCAGCGAGTGGACCGCAGCACGCCAACACCTTCTGAGGCCACGTTTCTCGTGGTGCACTGGCTGTATACTTAGCCGCTATTGGCCAGAATTTCGGGATTTGCAGTGCACGCGCCAAACCGGTCATTTCGCGGCAGCAATCCACAGGCAAAATGTGCGCTGGCACGAAAATTATGGAACTATGGGCAGTAAGCAGGGGGTACACCCGTAGCGCCCCCCCTGAAGCCAGATTCGAGGTATCAGGGTTATCCCCGAATTCATACTGAGCACTCAGGGCTGGTACACGAACACTATTCTGAGTTGTCAGGGTTGTCATATGATATTCATTCTGAATTTACAGGGTCAGAAATTCATTTAACCGGATTTTTCAGGTCTGGCACCTCATACACATCATGCATTTCCACATCCCACTGTTGGTACTTATTCCTCAGCAGCTGGCCCTCCCCCAGAAGTGTCTTCCTCTCCTTAGCATCGTCCACAGCTCTCACACCTTGCCCTTGGGGCGGCTCCCTCCCTCACCCTTCTCCCCCCCACATGCAGAAGCACCAACACCCCCTACTTCCTCAGCAGCTGGTCCTCCCCTGGCAGGTTCTTCCTCTCCTTGGCCTCCTTAATCGTCCACAGGTCCCACACCTTGGTCTTGGGCGGCTCCCGCACCTCCCCAATCGGCGCCACCAGGTCGGGGTTGTCAGCCCCCATCACCCCGTCCACCAGCCCGTACTCCACCGCCTCCCATGGACTCATGAAGTTGTCGCGATCCGTGTCAATCTCGATCTGCAGGGCAGGGTGAGAAGGCAGGAAGAGGCCATGGCAGCAGGAGGAGTTGGAATGGCTGAGGGGTAAGCTGGGGTTGTCGGCCCCCATCACCTCATCCACCAGCCCGTACTCCACCGCCTCCACATCACCCATCGACCAGGCCGTGCGTCCTCCACTGCCTCCCATGAATTCATGCAGTTTACCCAATCCGAGTCTCATGAACTCCCTGCCTGGTCCGAGTCGATCCAAATCTGCGATGGAGTGTGGCGTGAGGTAAGGGTGGGTGGTGATGGGCATGGCGGGCATGGAGGGCAGGAAGGGCAGGAAGGGCATCCAACACACTCGAGATGGGTAAGAAGATGCTCCTACTGAATCACGAGCATCAACAAAATCTAGAGAGAAAAAGGGGGGGCATTCTGAACAAAAGGGGGGGCATTCTGCACAAAAGGGGGGGCATTCTGCACAAAAGGGGGGGCATTCTGAACAAAAGGGGGGGCATTCTGAACAAAAGGGGGGGCATTCTGAACAAAAAAGGGGGGGGCATTCTGAACAAAAGGGGGGGCATTCTGAACAAGAGGGGGGGCATTCTGAACAAAAAAGGGGGGGCATTCTGAACAAAAGGGGGGGCATTCTGAACAAAAGGGGGGGCATTCTGAACAAAAGGGGGGGCATTCTGAACAAAAGGGGGGGCATTCTGAACAAAAGGGGGGGCATTCTGAACAAAAGGGGGGGCATTCTGAACAAAAGGGGGGCATTCTGAACAAAAGGGGGGGCATTCTGAACAAAAAAGGGGGGGCATTCTGAACAAAAGGGGGGGGCATTCTGAACAAAAGGGGGGGCATTCTGAACAAAAGGGGGGGCATTCTGAACAAAAGGGGGGGCATTCTGAACAAAAAAGGGGGGGCATTCTGAACAAAAAGGGGGGGCATTCTGAACAAAAAAGGGGGGCATTCTGAACAAACAAGGGGGCATTCTGAACAAAAAAGGGGGCATTCTGAACAAAAAAGGGGGGCATTCTGAACAAAAAAGGGGGGCATTCTGAACAAAAAAGGGGGCATTCTGAACAACATTCTGAGAGGGGAGCAACGCAAGCAGAGATGAGATGACAGGTGTTCCCAGGAGTCGAATAAACAAGTGGAGCGGAACCAGTAGAGCGGCCGACGCACCTGGTCCTCTGTCTTCCTGGTGACTCGCGAGAGGATCTTGTTGAGCTTCACCTTGGTTGGGGTACATCATCTCACGAGTGGATGAGACAGGTAGTTGAAGGAGAGGGAAAAGTGGTGGAGGGAGATCGAGAACGGGGAAACATACCTGGTCCTCTGTCTTCCCGGTGACTCGCGAGAGGATCTTGTTGAGCTTCACCTTGTGGTACATCATCTCGCGCACCTGCAGCCCCACGTCTATGGCCTGATTGGGAGGTGCGGAGGGGGGGGGGGAGGGAGACGGGAGGGCGGAAGGGAAGGGGGCTTGTTGGTACCACGTGCCTACTTGTGGTACGTCATCTCGCGCACCTGTCGCCCCACGTCTATGGCCTGATTTGGGCGGGGGGAGGGGGGAGAGAGGGGGAGGGGGGAAAGGCGGATGTAGGGCAACACGTCCCTCCTTGTGGTACATCAACTCGCACACCTGCCGCCACACGTCTATGGCCTGGCGGGGGGTGGGGTGGGGGGGAGAGGGGGAGGGGAGAGGGTTCGTTGGGTGCAGCAGTCGGTATCACCTCCCACCTCGAGGTACATCATCTCGCGCACCTGCAGCCCCCCGTCTATGGCCTAATGGGGAGAGAGGGGGGTGGGGTGGGGCGGGGGGGAGGGGGGAAGGGAGAGGAAGCCAGAGGGGAAAGGGCAAAGGGGGGTGTGGGGGGGTGGGGGAGGGAGGGGGGGGGTTTGAGCAGAGGTCGGTAGCACCTCCTGCATCGTTCGTGGTACATCTTGCGCACGAGCAGCCCCACGTCTAGGGCCTGCACAGGAGGTGGGGGAATGGCGGTCGAGGGGGCATGTCTGTTGTTGGGGCGCAACAGCCGCTATCACCTCCTGCCCTGTCGTGCATCATCTTGCGCACCTGCACAGGTGGTGGGAAGTGGGAACGGGGCCGAGGGGGAGGGGAAGGGGGAGACTTTTGAGTCGACTCAAAAATCGTCTTGAGCACCTGCACAGGCGGTGGGAGGTGGGAACGGGGCCGGGGGGGAGGGGAAGGGGGAGGTGGGGGGGGGGGGAGGGGGCAGTCGGTAACACCTCCAACCATATGGAGCATCAGCATAAGGTGATAGAGTGGCTGCTCGCAGGCATGCGTGTCACCTCGCCGCCACATCAGCAGAGAACTGTAAGTCGCCCCAGCCGCTCATGAAATAGCGAGAGACTTTTTATCATTCTCGGAAGATTCTTGAGAGAGATTTGTGAGTGATAAAAAAAAAAAAAAAAAAAGAGCCAAAATTTTAACTCAGCAGAGACCAGTAAGTCGCCCCAGCCGCTCATTAATTACCCAAAACCGAGGCAGCAGCAATGTCCCTGACGCGACGCGACTGCATCGCCGACCCTAGAGTTCTACCACAAGTAAGTTAGCACAGCACATCTCAAATCCCAGTCTCTCTCCAATCACCGAGCCCTGCGCGCCTCCCAGCGGCTGGTGAATCATCACCCGCGAATTCGGCATGCAGAACCTCTTCCCCTTGGTGCCAGTGGCCAGCAGAAGAGCCCCCATGGACGCACAGCTCAACCCCCCCAAGTTCCACTTACCGATCCCTGCGCCCCTCCTAGGGGCTGGTGAATCATGACCCGCGAATTCGGCATGCAGAACCGCTTGCCCTTGGTGCCTGTAGCCAGCAGGAAGGCCCCCATGGAGGCGGCGAGGCCGAAGCAGATGGTGGAGATGTCGGCGCGACACAGCTTCATGGCGTCGTAGATGCCCATGCCGGCTGTCACCGACCCGCCGGGCGAGTTGATCAGCATCTTGATGTCGCGCGTGGGGTCCTGTGAGTCCAGAAGCAGTAGCTGGCTGATTATGAGGTCCGCGCTGAAATCGTCCACCTGCGGAAGGGAGGGAGCGGCAGGGGCAGGCGAGAGTCAAGGACCCCACGCAGTAGCTGGTTGATTATGAGGTCCGCGCTGAAGATCGTCCACCTGCAAGATGGGAGAAAGGGGGGGGGGGGATGATGGCCCATGGAAAGGGGGATTGGGGGGAAGCGGTGATGCTGCCCCCATGCCTGCTCTCACCGACCCGCCCGGCAAGTGGATGAGCATCTTGATGTCCTGAGAGCGGGGTCCTGCGGGGAGCAGGTTTGGCGGAGAAGGGGGGAATTGGCATTCGAGTGAGAGGGAAAGCGCGGAAGAGAAGCACACTGCCGTCATCAATCCAACGACCCCCCTCTCCGGCGGGTTCCGCCATCCCTCCCACCCCAACACTCGAGCTGTCTACATCATCCAGAAGTGCACAGGATTGATGATTGGAGAAATGCACACCATCATCAATCCAACACCCCCTCCGCCCCCTTCCCACCCCTTCCCCCCTTCCTCCCCTTCCCCCCCTTCCTCCCCTTCCCCCCCTTCCTCCCCTTCCCCCCTTCCTCCCCTTCCCCCCCCCCCCTCCTCCCAGGCGGGTTCCGCCAGGTTCCGCCATCCCACCCCAACGCTCGAGCTGTGTACTCTCTCCCAACAAACGCGCCACAGTACCCTAATTCGTCGATTCGATGACAATTTAGTAGGTGCTGAACTAAATGTATTCGCGAACCGATTTACTGTTCTGACGGTCAGCTTTTGAGTCGACTCAATAGTGAACTCTTTATTGTTCGAACGGTCAGCGACCGCATCGGACTCGCCTGCGTGCCGAGGAAGGCGATTCGCTGGCTGAGAAGGATCGACGTGGGTTCCTGACTGCTGGTCCGCGCTCAACGTCTGTAAGATGTGAGGGGAAGCCAGAAGCCAAAAGCCAGAAGCCAGAAGCCAGAAGCCAGACTCCAGTGTCGACCTTTCTCATTGGAGAGTCGACACCTTTCTAACGGGAGACTCCAGTGAGAAAGATCCTGCAGAAGAGTCCACCCCGTTAGACGTCACTCTTTCTCCAATGAGTGACGATCCCTGGGATCTCACTCACGCGCTCGGCGTCCCTGAGATGTGAGGGGAAGCCAGTGGCCGCGGCGTCGTCTGCTGCTCCGCGCTCATTCGCGGCAATAAGGTCTGGTCACACTCGCGGGAATAAGGTCTGGCCGCATTCGCGGGCCCAAGGTCACATGAAACTAGCCTGCATTCCCCGAGCCTCTGATACTCGCCTGCGTGCCGAGGAAGATGACTCGTTGGCTCAGAAGGATCGACGCGGGGTCCATCCACGCCCTGCAGCCGCGGCTTCGTCTGCTGCTCCGCGCTTTGACTGCTCTACTCTTCACGCGACCTATTCAGCCTTGCCTTTTGAGTCGACTCAAAAGTCAGCTCGCGACCTACTCAGACTTGCCTGCGTGCCCAGGAAGATAATTCGTTGGCTCAGAAGGATCGACGCGGGGTCCATGTCCTGCAGCCGCGGCATCGTCTGCTGCTCCGAGCTCATTCGCGTCGCGGGGAACTGGCTGGCCTCCGCCACGTCGAAACCCGCGCCGCCGAGGCTAGTAAGTGACGGATCAAGCCCTAAAACGTCGTTTCGGCTGGCACCGCTCGAGACCGACGCGCGGCAGTTAACCCCTGTTTTACGTCCAGCAGCGCGGCTGCTGGCGGCGCGGCTCGGAATCGTCCATCTCGGACAGCCGGAAGCCGTGCCGCTTCCCGCGGTTTTCGCGCTTGCCGTCTGGGCTGCGCTGCAGAGCCCGGTGACACGCCGTGCTAGCGGCGCAGAGCCGACAGCGAGCTCCATAGGTCGGATTATGCAGGGGAGTAGGGCAAGGCGCTGCTACGAGATCGTTTCGGGCCTCCGAGTGACACGTAGGGAACTTCTAGGTCTGACCTGGTTGATTGACAATGTGGCTCTGATGGGTTGGGGAGCGAAGAAAGTGGGGAGTGTGTCTTGGGGGGCGGGGGGGGGAGGAGGAAGGGGGAGGGAGGGAGGAGGAGGAGGGAGGGGAGGGAGGGAAGGGGAGGGGGAGTGTGTGGGTGGAGGTGGGGGGGATGTTGGCGGAAGGGCGCGGAGGAGTAGGGAAGGGTAGCGCGCGGGGAGCTTGAGTGCGGGGTTTGTTTTGATGAACTAATGTTGTTCTGTACCTCAACCTGCTTATTAGCGGGCACTTAATCTCCAAACACTATCAACCTCAAATCTAGCATATTTTCTTCGGGATGTGGGCTGAAGTTGTAATGCAATTCCTTGTCGTGGCACTGGATTACCCTGTCGATCCTCTCTCTCTCTCTCTCTCTCTTCTCTCTCTCTCTCTCTCTCCTCTCTCTCTCTCTCTCTCTCCTCTCTCTCTCTCTCTCTCTCTCTCTCTCTCTCTTCTCTCTCTCTCTGGAGGGGTACTTGGGAGGCTTTCCTCTCCTCAGGAAGGTGGATATATGGAACTTAACCCTCCTGATGACATCCTTTCTTGTCCTAGTGGTGGGGACTGGGATAACCCTAGTCGATCCTCTCACTCTCTCTAGGGGGTTACTGAGGAGGCTTTCCTCGGGGAAGGTGGATGTATGGAGCCTAACCCTCCTGATGACATCCCTCCTTGTCCCTGTGGTTAGGGCTGGTGACTTTATGACATTCCTTATCGTACATAAACCCCATTTTGCGAGTACAATGAGACGACAGATAGTGAAATTAATTTGTAAAATTGGAATACTTTCCCTCTAGATAAATTGATAAGTGTGAAAAAAGTTCTCATTCAACAAACATAACCATGGTTCTGTAATTACTCCCATTTGTGGACGTTGAATATGTAAGGAAATGGTATTTCCCTATCACGGGGTTTATGTCGTATACCTACAACTAGGATCCAGCGAAGTTGGATCCAATTTCGTACATAACCGAACTGAAATACGCACATTCAGCATTCCACCGTACTGTACCACACGCGATGGATCCAACTCTGCTGAATCCAAATTTGTACGAATACGCCCTCAGTCAATAAGGCGTACACTAATACAACGGGGTTGCCGCGAGTAAGGAATGAGTAATTCCTTACTGAGGCTTGCTACAGGGCGTACGACTTGAACAGTCCCGAACCAGCGATAGGGTTCCAGACCTTTCAGTTCGAGCCTCCTGGGCCTTTCCGGACCTTGCTACGACACATTGAGGCCCTTCGATACATTTCTCGAACCTTCCGATCCTACGTCCAGGATCACCCTAGGCTTTCTATATATTGTATTGTCTTTCACTCGTTCACAGTTTCGCCATTGCCCTCCGCGCTACTCGGCAGTCCCATTCATAATACTCGGTATTCAGAGCCACTTTCCTCACCCGCTGGGCTTCTGAGGGCATAACGTTTTTTTTTCGGGGGGGGGGAGAGCCATCCCCTCGAGGGCGGTTGTGTCCGTCCTGACATGGCGAAGTTTTTGAAGAGTGTTTCCGGTATGTTGTTCATTTCGCATATCGTTAAAGAGGCTTCGGTTGCAATTTCGAGATTTTCGGCAAGCAGCAACGACGATTCAGATTGGTGTCCGAATGGAGCGAGGAGCTCGTCATGAGACGACAAGCTCGCGGATATCCCCATGCGAAATGGATTTTGTCAAGAGCGCGTGTAGCAGACGTGGCTGCATGGTGAAGTGTAGCTGATGTCAAGGGCTCGGCGTTTTCGGTAGGCGACACGCAGGTGAAGACGAGACTTCGGATACTGTTCAGCAAACGCGGCGTTGGAGTTTTTGGCACGACCAAGGATCGCACGGCAGCACACGTGGGGCTCAGGCACGGAAAAGTTTCGGGGAGTACTGACCTCGAAATTTATTCGCGTGACCTGCCCGCCTGGAGGTGTAATTCGTCTGCCCTGGAGTTTCGAGCTCGACGAGTCTGGATTCCCACAGAGGAAGCCATTTTCGTGGTCAGAAATTATACCCCACGATCTACGGAGGACGACAAGCAATTACCCTCGGGTCGAGTTTAAGTGTCATCGACGGGTCACCGCTAAAAGTCAATGACGAAGAGCTGACGCAGAGAAGGAGAACAACTGGGAACAGCCAAGAAATTTTACGGAGTCAGCGGCTGATGGATCCCCCGACTGACTTGGCTGGGTCGCTCGATTTTCAGCACCACCACCAGGTACCAGTTCGGGTTTAAGACTACTCCGACGGTTCTGGCCGAATAAGGGTGGTGAGCCAGCGGATCACCCTGTGCTGGTGGATCGAAGGAAAATTTTCGGCGCTACACGATAGGTGCACGATTTGTGAAAATCGTACGCTCTACAGTGGGAGGTGCGAGAAGCAGATTAACGAAAATTGCGAAGGAAATTTGCGAGAGCAATCGGACGGTACGTGGAGCTCGGGTCCGATACGAACGGTGAGGATGTGTCGCCGAGATCGACGGAGCTGCGAGTTTTTTCGAACGAAAGTGCGCGCTACTGTTTTGAGGATGACGAACGTGGGCGCTGGGTGAACAGCAGCCTACGGGGGTCTTTTATCAAGGAAGCGGCAGTTGAAGAAATTTGCGGCAGTGGAAGAAATTTGCTGCAGTTGAAGCAGATTTTTGCAGAGACGGAATTTTTCAGGGAGGGGAAGGAGAATCCCTCACGTAAGCTGCAAAGCGGTCGCCCGCGAATTAGACTGATTAATTCGCCCAACTACGATAGCGTTTTGCGCTTACCTGAATACGGGCACACGACAGATTCACCCCTGCTCTGGAGTGTATTCAACAAAATGGAGCTTCGGGTTACTGTTGCAGTGGGAAAAGCGTGTTGCCGTCACGGAAAATTTGGAGTCACGCGGGAGTCTTCCAGGGTTATCTCTGAGTTGCGGGACTATAATCAAAGACTCGGCTGCGAGGGCTCATTTGTGGATTTACCTGGACGAGCGCAATGATGGGTGAACGTCGGCGCGTCGCTAATATGCCGGGTACCTACCGAGCTGTGCGATGGTTTAAATACCGGCATGGTTAGTCGGTGAAACTGCAGAGAATGTGCTTTTCGGAGCGGAGAACTGTACCCAAGTTTTTCTGGGGTACCTGCCGTAGCCGCGCGATGGGTGAACGTCTACACGTCGAACCGGTCAGGAGGAGTTTCGGAATTTACAACACGAAGCAGATCGACGGCATTCTACGGAGCAGAATTATTATCTACGGCGTCGGACAGAGCTAGATTCTACGTGGCGCAGCTGCCCTGCGTTATAGGGTCGCGCTGAGACTGGTCCTGACGAGCAGAGTTTGAAGATACTTTAGTTTTCTGGGTCTGAAGAACCTTGAAGCAGGGTATTTTCGGCAACGACGACAGAGGAATTTCTTTTCATGGAGGGGGGAGAGAGCAGCTGCGCAGCAGTTGTTTTTGGATTTTCCCTCGACAAGTTTGACATCCGCTGCAGGAGCATCGACGGACAGATGCTGTTTGACCGACTGAATCGACGGATAGATTCGAGTTGGCACTTCACGAATTTCGTAGGAGTTTGCGAAAGTTGACGGCGCGTTTATATTGACCGCCTGAGGCGACATCGACTACGGTTACTGGACTAATTGTGATTTCGTCCATGTGCTGATGGAATTCGCTGACTTTCGTGAGACGGGGACGCGTGTTCTCACATGTGACGCGAATGACATCGCATTTGACGAATTGCTGGAGTTCGTTGACTTTGCGAAATATGGACGCGTGTTTCAGCGAGTGTCACGACTCGCGTGGAACTAAACGAGGAGCGATCTATAGTTACGGAGCTACGGACAAGTTTGGCGCTATGCAGAAGATTCGGCTCGCCAGCTTGCAGCAGCGTGAATAACGTGGTGTTACTGTGAGGATACAGTACACGACGATGGGGTCTGTAGTAATTCTCGGCGAAGGATTAGCTGGAGACAAGGAGGCTGTGGTGCGGTAGTTTCCCTACTGCCCATTTGGTTATCTGGGTAATTCTACCAAGATTCGACGGATACGATCGACCGCGATCGTTTCGACACGTTTCGACCGTTGGATGGAGTTTCCTTGAAGAAGCTCGAGATTCTCAACAGTGGTGGCTTCACTACTACGAGATTCAGTTAGAGTGTGTGTAGTTTTATTTATTTGTGTGCTTATCTAGAAGGGGGGAGAGTGTAAGGAATGAGTAATTCCTTACTGAGGCTTGCTACAGGGCGTACGACTCGAACAGTCCCGAACCAGCGATAGGGTTCCAGACCTTTCAGTTCGAGCCTCCTGGGCCTTTCCGGACCTCGCTACGACACATTGAGGCCCTTCGATACATTTCCCGAACCTTCCGATCCTACGTTCAGGATCACCCTAGGCTTTCTATATGTTGTATTGTCTTTCATTTTATTGTCATTCACTCGTTCACAGTTTCGCCATTGCCCTCCGCGCTACTCGGCAGTCCCATTCATAACACCGTGCAGCTCTGCAACGAAATTCAAATCGCGGTACCCAAACGTGGCCTCCTGACAAGCCGCATGCATTTTGCCCGCCTTGCTGTTTCATTACTAGATCTGGGCGCTTCGCACTACACGTCGCAGCTCTGCCGAGCAGCGACCATGTGCTCTAGGCTAGTTATATCCATGCTCCCTGTTGTTTGATGTTGCCTCGTTGTATTGTTTTTCCTCGCTAACTATTCTACACATTCACATTTCACATTTAAGTTGGTGTAAGGAAATAGTATTTCCTTCTCACTGGTTTTAGTTAGTACGGCGTACACTGCTATAACGGGGTTGCTGCGCAGCTCTTTTACGAAATTCAGATTGCGGTAACTGAATGTGGCCTCGTGACGGGTCGCATGCATTTTTGCCGCCTTGATCTTTCATGCCTAGATCTGGGCGTGTCGCACCAATTTACGAACCACACGTCGTAGCTCTGCTAAGCCACAACCGTGTGCTCAAGGCTAGCTATTTGTCAGCGTGAGAATGAGTGACTAGAATAAGGTGGTGCA